CTGCTAATCGTAACCATTCTGGTATGTAGGCTCCAGAGTTTACCATCTACGCTTTCATAGCGTTTCTTCACTTCCACCATGACCTTCGTAATCAAGTTCTCCAGTTCCGTATCATATTTCACAACTTTCTCGGCTATATGCTGTAACCTCTCTTCCGTTGATCTGGCCATTCTGAAAAAAAATCACGGCTTTTATTTTGTTGTGCCTGATCTCCTTTTTTAATTCCAGGCGGTCTTCTTTGTCAATTTTGAGTTTTCTCTCTGTCTGATCTAGCTTTCGCATCAGGTTGATCATGTCCACTGGTACCCTTGATTCCTATGATCTTTCCGCTGCCTGGTTTTCTGGTCCCTGAGTGGCATCAGCGTTGTGTGTTTCTTCCATCCCAGTCACCATTGTTATTGCAGAAACTGTCCCAAGGTCTTGCTTTTTGGTGTCCCAGCTGTCGTTTCCTCTTTCTCTTTTGTTTTCAACCCACCATCACTGCTATTCTCTCCATGAAGGAGATTCAATTTGCTTGGGAATCATCTTTCATTGTCTCTGGGGTATTGTCTCTTATTTCAATATCATCCCCGATTGGTGAGAATTCTAGCGTTTTTAATTGCTGTTCCACCGTATTTGGCATTATTGTTGATTCCCTATCTTCTTTTTGTCCTCATTCAGACTTTTTCCAGTTGTCTCTAGATCAATCTCTGTCACTGGGGCATCCTCTCATCTCTTCTTCCCCAGTTTTCCCCAGTTGCTTCTTTTGCTTCAAGTTGCTCTTTGTTTCTTCGTGTATACAACCTGCTCACTGAAACGTTTTTCTTCTTTAACTGTGGCACTGTGACCACCGGTGTCGTTTTAGATTGCCCTATTTGGCGAGTTTTGTTTGACTCAAACTTGACTTTCTCAGGTAATGATGTTCTTAATTTTTTTTTTCAATTTTACCTTTTATGGCCCCCCTTTTTTCACCCGACCAGTGTCTATTAACACAATTTGGTTTATGTCTACTCGTATCTAGTTACAGATAAAGGTTAAAAGAAGATTAAAACGGTTTTTCAGGTGCGTAGCCCCTCGAAAATGGTCGCAATTTAATTTTTATTTCGACAATCGGTCTTGAAATTTTTTGTTTTCAGTATTTAATTGCACTACTTGAGATTCGAAGCATCCAGTTTTGGGAAGTTGTTTGAACTTCCCAAGATTCAAGCAAATTTAGTGTTGTGCTGTTCTCTGAATTTCCCAAGGATAAATCAGCTTGTGTTGATCACTTGTTTGAACTTCCCAAGTCTTAGAAAACCCCAGAGTTGGACAGGTTTTTTGAACTTCCCAACACTCAAAAAACCCCTTTTGGTGGTAGCTTAAAGACTACTACCAAAAGTTCCCCCAATTTAGATATAAGTACGTTCCAATGACTAGGTCTCTATATACCTAAAAACGAGAGCGCTGTATAAAGCAGGGTTTTGACTTCAAGGAAAAACCTAAACTTTTTATTGGACAATAGACCTTTGATCCTTTTCAGATGGATCCATCTAAAAGTCGTCTTACCTCAACATAACTCAATAAAACGCACTCAAGTAATCAAAATAGACAACAACTCTGGAACTGGTCGAGTAAAAAACTAGAGTAGCTCTAGAAGTTCTGGTGAAGCAATAAGATATAACTCAAGATGTTTTTTCAATTTTGAACCATTGGGTCATGGGATTGTGTTACAGGGTCATGGGATGACATGGGACATCGAAATTGTGTTACAGCTTAGAGGCTTTTACCCAAAAGTCCCCCAGTCTAGAAATAAGCCCGTCCCCATGGCTAAGTCCATAAATACCCAAAACATGTAGCCCGGAGCTGTGTCAGTCTAAAACTCGCCTTAATTCAACATATATCTATAAAACGCACTCAAGTTGGGATTTCAATGAAATACCTCTCGTGGCTCCCTTAACCCGATTACCTAAGCCTTGTATCCAAAAGAACACGAGAAAACTTTCTTAGGCTTTACTATAAAGCTTCGACCAGGATGTGGACACCTTCCAGTTGAACTGTACCCCCGATACTCTAGAATGGGCATGTATCCCGGAGCTGTGACATGTGGATTCGATCCTGTATCCATGATGACGTAAGAAACACCCAAAAGCGCCATGAAACATTATGTAACAGTCGTTTGCTTAAGTCACAGATTAGGTTAAGAGCAATAGGCCCTATAACCATTTCCTCAAGAGTCAGGGACACTACCTCTTGTGTTTTTGTACCTCAATCTGACGGAGTTGATTCGGTTCGCTTATGACATGGGACATCGATATTATTGTGTTACAGCTTAGAGGCTACTACCCAAACCCCCTCCCCCCACTCTAGAAATATGCACATCCCCATGGCTAGGTCTCTAAAGACCTAAAACAAGATAGCGTTGTTAAAAACAAGGTTGGGAATTCAAAGAAATACCTAAATTTTTCATTGGACAATGGACTTTTGATCCAATTCGAATGGACCATTTCAAACTCGGCTTGCCTCAACAAAACTCTATAAAACGCACTCAAATATTCAAAATCGACAACGAGTCTGGAACTGATCGCGTAGAACAATTATAGTTGCTCTACAAAATTTGGTGAAACAAAAAGTTTTAACTCAAGAAATTTTACCAGTTTTGAACCATTGGGTCATGGAATTGTGTTACAGAGTCATAAAAAGACATGGGTGATGGGAAGACATGGGACATCGAGGTTGTGTTACAGCTTAAAGACTACTACCAAAAGTTCCCCCAATTTAGATATAAGTACGTTCCAATCGCTAGGTCTCTATATACCTAAACACGAGAGCGCTGTATAAAGCAGGGTTTTGACTTCAAGGAAAAAACTAAACTTTTTATTGGACAATAGACCTCTGATCCATTTCAGACGGATCAATCCAAAAATTGCCTTACCTCAACATAACTCAATAAAACGCTCTCAAGTAATCAAATTAGACAATAACTCTGGAATTGGTGGAGTAGAAAAACTATAGTAGCTCTAGAAAATTTAGTGAATTAATGAAATATAACCCAAGAAGTTCTTTGAGTTTTGAACCATTGGGTCATGGGATTGTTTTACATTATCATGGGAGGACATGGGTCATGGGAAGACATGGGACATCGAGATTGTGTTACAGCTTAAAGACCACTTCCAAAATTCCCCCCAATTTCGAAATCAGCAAGTCCACATCGCTAGGTCTCTAAATACCTAAAACACGAGTGCGCCGCATAAAACAGGTTTGGAAGTTCCCCGAAAAACTTATTATTTTTATTGGACAAGCGACCTTTGATCCATTTGAGTTGGATCAATCTAAAACTCGCTTTGTCTCAACATAACTCTATAACACGCACTCAAGTAATCAAAAGCTACACAAGTTATCTAAAACTCTCCTTACCTCAACATAACTCTATAAAACGCACTCAAGTAACCAGAGCGACAACAATTCTGGAACTGATCGAGAAGAGCAACTGTAGTAGCTCTAGAAGGTTTGGTGAAGCCATGTATTTTAACCTAATTTTTTTAAATCAGTTTTGAACCATTGGGTCATTTGAGTGGGCGACCGTCCCAGTTAAGGTGCACTTTACTCTAGAAGTAGCACTCACGAATCCACTCTCGATGCTCTCTATCGGGAATGAGACAGCTCTACTCGAATTAATTTTTAATGTGCAAATTGCAAAGCAGTTTGACTGTTGACTGACTTTCTGTCCTTAACATAACTCAATAAAACGCACTCAAGTATTAAAAATACGCACTCAAGTAATCAAAATATCCACTCTAGTATTCAAAATACGCACTCAAGTTATGAAACGCATTCAAGTAATCAAAACATTTCTAGAACTGATCTAAGAGAACAAAAATAGTAGCTCTAGTAGTTTTCGTGAAGCAATAAGTTTTAAGTCAAGATATTTCTTTATTAGTTTTGAAACATTGGGTCACTTGAGTGGGCGATCGTCCCAGTTAAGAAGCACATTACTCCAGAAGTAGCACTCACGTATCCACTCTCGATGCTCTCTATCAGGAACAAGAAACTCTACTCGAATTGATTTTTATTGTGCAAATTGCGAATAGCAGTTTGACTCTAGACTGACCTTCTTTCCAACTTCCCGCAATTGTGAACTCGCTTCATCTGATTTTCTGTCTTTTTGTGTCAGTTGTGGCGATAAACTTACGCAAGCGTGGTCATTTCGATTTTTTAAATACCATTTCTCGCCAAAAACAAGATAAACTTCAGGACAAAACCGACTGGCAAAATTCCTAATACATCAGTTAGGTTTTTCAACCTAAAGATGGTCTAAAAATGTGCGAAAACGTTTGTTGGTTTAACAATTTTAACGTAATCGATTGTTAAGTATATTTGATTAGATTTTTGATAAAAAGTAAATTTCAAACGTTTTAGCAACTATGTGCATCGTCAGGAATTTTTTTACAATAAACTTATACAAATGACGATAAAACATCAATTTACAAATGTTAACTGTATATTGATCTGACCGTGTTAACTGTAAATTGATATTCAAAAACTTCTATATTTAAATAACGAATCTCAGTTTCTGACTCTTAATTATTCTATAACTAATTTATTCATTCAACGGCAATTTTGTAAAGAAATTTTTTTTCCTACTCTAATATTGATGATTTTTTTCGAAGAGATGTATTAATTTTTTTTAGAAAAATATTTCTGTAATTCACGAATCATTTCAAAAATCACCTTTTAGTCACCATGATAATTTAAAAAAACGTAGGTTAGTAATGAAGTATGTCGTTTATGTTATGGTTAAATATTAAATTCTTAAATTCTACGCTTTTTGGCTGGACTGTGTAATGAAGGACTCGTGATATACTAATAAGAATAATTACAAAGAATTGAGGGCAGTGCCATTGGGAATCATTTCCCCAGTCTGCAGGCCAGTCAAAGTTCAGTTTCTGCTCATTTCTGCATTTATATCTCATAGTACCATGATGAAGTTTGGCATTCTGATTAGCCAAAAATTGAAGGCCTTAAATAATCATGTCTTTTTTTCAAGTTGTAATGTCAGTTTCTCCCAGAGGTCTAACACACAGAATCAAACGCGGATCTCGGCCACAGCTCATTGAAGACGAGCTAGATATCTGTCGAAATGTCAACTTTGACAACAGATACGTTTTTGAAGTTTCCTGGGAGGTTGTAAACAAAGGTATAGTTTCTATTGTATTTAAAACAATAATTATAGATTACAGTTCACTTCAGTGTTTTGACAATGTTGAAAGCGCTATTTAGCGAGTCAAGTAGCTAGCGGAAAGCGAAAATTAGTGGTAGATAGCAAAAAAGTTTCATTGGCCGTGCAAACTTCTTAAATAGCTGAGACTCAAAGTTTTCTGTTTAATTTTTATAGACCATACATTATAGTATACTCAAAGCTTTCACATATCCCATACTGTAAACAAGGATTGCCGATTGATGTGCAAGTAGCCCAGCTCGTGCATAACTCACTGATTTAACAAAAAAGAGCAAAATAACAAAAAAATTGTCAAAACATTAAAAAGATAGAAAAATATTTGAAAAAATGCAGACATTCATCTTTATCTTATTTAGTCTCAAAACCGAAAAAAGTTAGACTAATTTTAATCGACAATGCAACAGCTATTTCGTTTTTTTTTTTTTGAAATCCGAATAACAACCTATTGGTTTTAATATGATATCACACATGACTGACTCTCTGTGAGCTTTCCTTAAGGTACCTTTAATTCAATTGTAGGTACCTTAAGGAAAGGTACCTTGTAGGTACCTTAAGGAAAGGTACCTTGTAGGTACCTTAAGGAACATTTAAGGTTCCGGCCACTTCGCGAAGTCAAGGAATTATAGATTAGCTGATGTTTTTTTTCCTCCAAAGTTTGGAGGAAAAAAACATCAGCTAATCTATAATTCCTTGACTTTGCGAAGTGGCTGGAACCTTGAATCAGTATTTGAAAACATCGGAAAATTGGCTCAGCGGTTTTTTGTTGGAGTGGTTTAGTGGCGGGTAATCTCATTTAGTTACCTTATTCCAGCTGATGTTGCCTATTCTTCGCTTCATTAGATTATGTTTTCTTTAGTTGGAGGAATTTATACTGTTTTGAAGACAAAAACTGGACACATGGTAGAACAGTTAGGAGATCGTTATTTGCTAATTGGACCGTACAATGAATCACAAGTGCAATTGGAAGTTGAAGTAGAAGATCAACCAGATACTCCAGAGCTAGCTGCCACAGTTCGCTCGATGAGGGAGCGGGGTGTCAAAGTAGGTTTTCTGCTTATGTTTATTAATATAAGGCGATTGAAGTTAATAAATGTAAAATGACCCTTGATTTACAAGTTGAATATACCACCTCGAAAATATAAATTTATGTTCTTTGATAATCTTAACTTTTCTGCGAAATGTCAATCTGCTTGAATCAACTGATAATTGTCTGATCTATGTTTTTATTGCGGACTGTTTCATTTTCAGGTTCCGCATGTTTTTTAAGCAAGAGTTATTTAATCGGAATATAGACTTCGGGTTAACAACTAGCGTAACATATTCACTGAATCATATGGACAGCTTTTTTGTTAGTATGAAGTTCGTGGTATCAATTTAACCCGTGTAGCATGGAGATAGCGTTCACGCTTAGGGCGAAAAAAGTCATGGGCTCAAATCTAGTTAGGACTTGTTTTTTTTGTGTAGATGAAAACCATTCCGCGTTACAATTTTTTCTATTTAGCTATTGTTGTCTTCTTTCTGTCGGATCAGTTTCCAACGCTCGAATTTTGTTTATATTATGAACCCTTTTCACTATTATTTAAAACCTTTCCAGAGTACTTGCTCATTTTTTTTTGTTATTTCATTTTTTATATGTCTTATGTACGCTTTTAGAAAGTCATGAAAATAGTGAATACTCTAATATAGGTCTTCGTGATTTTCTTTTGTTTTCAGAAAAATTTTAAATCTGGTCATGCTCAAGTTTGGTTTTCACGGCTTTACTTCGATTTCTTGTGAAGTTTACTTGTTGAAAGGAAGGCAAGCTCCACTATCGAACAGCAAAAGTGTAAAGGTAGCAAAAACGTGATCGATTTCTTGTTTTCAAGTGAATTTTACTTTCAGATTTCCCAGGGGAATAAAAATTGATATAGTTTTGACCTATTGATAGTTTTCTCAAATTTAGTTACTTTAATTGAGAAAGTGCCAATCGTAATTTTTGCTTGAATTTTAAAGAGCTATAAGGCCATATATTTTTTTCTTTGAAATTTGAAAGTTGAAGACTTTTCAAAAAAAGAAGTCAGTATTTTGTTTGTTTCGTTGGCTGCGGGTTGACTCTTTTCAAACTCTCTGTTAACTTTGTTTATTTTTTTTATTTGTCTGCGTATTCTTCTCAATTCCGTAATGGTTGACGGATTTTTGAAATTGTGTTTCGTTCTGATTATAATAGTTTGATAAATATTTGAATGCCAGTTTTATGACGTGTTTTTTTCCTAGTTTCCTCTTTTTTTTGCATGCGTCGGTCACCTAGTTGGATTATTTCAAGTGAGACTTGATTAATAATAATGTAAGAGAATGGCCAGATTGCGCTTTTTGCTACAGTTTGAATTTTTGAAAAGTACGATGTTTGTCGCTGTTTTCTACGGTCACTTTTGTTACTCATGTTCTGGCATATATTTTGTTATAAGCATAGATGGTGATATATTACAATAAGATGCAGACTCAAGTTAAATAGCTAGATCGTTTTTTTACACTTCGATTAGTTTTTTTAATTGATTTCCAAGCCCAATTTTTTTGGTAAAAGTGTAAAATTTGAATGTTTGAATATTTTTTCATCTGGCAGAAGAATTTATTACAAAAATATCTTAGTAGCTTGTACAATTGATTGAAAATTTAGTTCACAAATTAAATACATGCACTACTCAAAAGTTTCTCAAAATAACCACCTTTTGTAACATAATCACCGCTTAGATTTTTGCATCTGCGAATCATGCTGCGTTTTTCATCATAACATAATAGTATTTAAATGAGTGTTTTTCAATAAATTATATGTTAGAGTTAATTTCCTGATCGCAAGTTATGCGCATCTTTGTGTAGTCTATCTATTCTATCGCCTCTGACAAATGAGCATCTTTTATTATAAATACAATTTTTTTCTAAGAAAATAATTTCTGTCACCGGATATAACGACCCAAAATGTTTCCGATTCCGAAATACCATATTAGTAAGTTCAAATCGCCTTTAAAGCAAAATCATTTTATCGAGGAAAAGACTAAATTCCAGTAAATGTTGATAAGATATGTTTAAGATGATTCTCATAATTACTACTTGTACAAATCTGTAAAAAAAAAATTGAACTTGCTTTAGAGTGAAACACAAATGAGTTTCGTGCAGCTGTTCAGTTAATCGTACTGTTGAATTTAATTTGCGAATTTTGCTTTGAACCGAAAAAGTAAAACCTGTGGTGCATATGTTTTTTTTAAAATTTGGTGCATATGTTTTTTAATTTGGTGCATATGACCTTTAATTTTATTCTGGCCTACTGGTCTTCATAATTATTTGTCAGCTTAGTTTTAGTTTCATTCGATAAATTTTTGCCGGTGATATTTTGCTTTCTGATTTTCGACAAACGTTTTTTCGGTTTAGATCCCGATTAGGATCTGTGTATGTCCGAGCCTTGCAAGGCTATTTATTGAAAACTGATTTGGCCGCTGTAGGGAAGTCGTGTCGGCTTCAAAGATGCCGATTTAGTTCTCTAAAAATTTTTGTTGACTTTTATCAGGTTCTTTTCATGTTTCGATTTTCATAGTTGAGTGCTTTTTTTGATGATACGGAATTCAAAGTTTTGTAAAATCTGCTTTTTTTGGAAATTCTTAAAAGAAATGGTCCAAATACGGTATTTTTAATGAGCCATTGATAACTGACCGGTTTTTTTCTCGTCTACTGCTAAACTTTTTGAAAAGGGTAACCTTGCTATTGAATTCCAGGTAGGGTTGAAACTGAATGGTAATCCGAGAAATAATTGACAGAAACACATTTCTAGAGTGGTCAAAGTATCAAAAAGTTGACCGAGGTTTGATCTAATAAAATGACGTATTTTTTTCAGCTCATCTTTTGTTGTCCAAATCGTACACGCTGTGGATGTACGGCCTGCGCTTATAGTAAAAAACTACAGTTAGCGATAATCTTTGATAAATTTTTTCTTAAGTGCAATGATTTATCACTGATTTTAGATCGGGTGGTTTTTATTAAGGAATTTGCGGCTTGTCTTTAAGTAGCCAGCGAACGACGTTAAGGCAATTATTTCGGCCGTGCTTATTTTTTTTTTAGAAAAAGGCAACATTTGTTTAGGCTCATATTTGATTTTTCTCAGTTTGACTCGATTTATTTCTTAGCTCAGCTGGGTTAGTTTTTATCTAAAAAATATTATTGAAAATTAAAGAGCTTTAAGGCCAGATGTTCGAATTAATCAGTAGTTTTGTTTTCAGATTTTTTGAGTTCATTGACACTCTTTGCAAATAGCTACACTCAAATTGCAACACTTAATTTTTTATTTTATCTCCCTAAAATTCATAGCTTTGCCAATATTTTATTTATCAAAAGCTAGTCGAGACCAATTAAAGGGCAGTCGGAACTTTCAGTGCTTTGCTTTGATACGAGCACTCTTGTTTTGATATGCGCTCACTTTCGGTGTCATTTTTCAATGGAAATGAAAAACGAAGGATTAAGGTATTTTATTATACACAATCATTCTTCGTATCGCAATTTTGAGAAGCTCAGCTCCCCCTCTGTATAATTTCAAGTTTGCGTTATTTAGACAAAGAAATTGATTTTTAGCTTAGAACGATGCGGAGGTATTTTTCCAGCCCAACATGAATGAATTTCATCAGTGTGTTGTTCCCGAGTTTTTCTAGATTTTTCCAATGCTTCTTGGCTCTATTCTATAAAGAAGAAAAGGTTCTATGTGCCACGTCATCTTTTACTAATAATTGAATACATAAACGCTTGTGTTATGAGAGTTCACTTTTTTCAACCAGAGAGTTCACTTTTTCAGTAAATTTGCTAGCGTAAGAGAAGTGCAACTTGGCCTCTGTGTGAAATATAATGTTGAAATGAAAGTTCAGTAGATGTGGTGGCTTAGGTTGTGTATGGGCGGTGGCTGGTGGAGGGATACCCCCGAGTGATCTTGTTTGACATTGGTAGCCAGGCGTACAGAGTTGACGAGTGGAAGACGGAGTTCTACAATGTGTCACACATAGGAGTGCCCTACTACGACAGGGAGGCCATGGACGCCCTCATTTTGGGCTCACTTGTAGCATGGTTTATTGGCGAGGTAAATAGTTTTTTTTTTGTTTCTGCGATTCGCGAGTGACCCTATAAAAATCAAATTTTCAAATTCCGTGCGAAGGCCCGATAAGGAGTAAGCGTGAACTGAGGCAAGGGAAATGAGTTTTCAATACAATTGTCAGCACGATTGCAATTTTTTGTCGTCTCCCGGTTTCTTGATTTCTCGGCGTTGAGAGAATTGTTTTGTTTTTGCATAGTGTAATTTGTTAACTGGGTTTCAGTTCAAATCACAGTGTCGATTATACGCTGAGTCGACACAGGCTTCTGGATCCTCCCCGGGAGCAGTAGGGGACAGACTGGTAGTGGCCCAGTTCCACGAGTGGCTGGCGGGAGTGGGGGTGGTGCTGTGCAGGACCAGACCCATAGATTGTGCCACTATTTTCACTACACATGCTACTCTACTGGGACGATATTTGTGTGCAGGGAAGTGCGACTTCTACAATAATCTTGGTCATGTAAGCGTCTCACCTGTTTGTTAGGTAGTTTTTCTTGATTGTTCGATTTTTCTGTGAAAGGAAAAGCGTCTCGATTCAAAGGACAATGCCAAAATTTACCCATAGCCTGTAAGTGCATCACTTTTTTTCACAGAGAGGTGCGTTGTGACCGAAAATTTAGAAGACGGGACTGGAAAACAGCTTCGCGCTTTTAAAATTGTTTTGAGATATGTTTTGTTTAGTTTGACGTGGACCGCGAGGCGGGAGACAGACAGATCTACCATCGCTATTGTATCGAGAGAGCGGCTGCCCACGCTGCCCATGCATTCACTACTGTCTCTGACGTCACAGGCTTAGAGGCGCAACACCTCCTCAAGCGCAGTCCAGGTCAGCATACTACAGAGTAGATATTCTCTGTCATGCTCAGTAATTTAATTTTATAGCTTTCCGAAATTATTACTCTACAAGCATTTTGTTATAAGATCAGTCGTTTTTTCAACCGAAGTAGCATAAGTTAGGGCAAAGGTTTTGTTAATAGTTACGAGAGTAGTTAGGTTTTGGTGATTTTTTTTTCAGGAAGTCGATGAGCGTAGGTTAGATTCTTATATCGGTCGTGATGATTCCTTTTTTCGTTTTTTTTTAGGAAAAATTAAAACTTGCTTAGGCTTAAATTTACTTTTTAGCGGTTTCTGTTTAGCGGTGTCACGTTTCACTTTATGTTCAGTTCATTTCCTTTGTTTAAAGGAAAGCAAGTTCCTCTATTGAACAGCAAAAGTGTAAAGGTAACGAAAAAGGTGATCGACTTCTAATTTTGAAAATGGAATTTAGTTATCAGATTACTCAGCAAAAAAAATTACCCATTGATCCAGTTTTCTCTATTTGGGTTGATTTTATCAAAAAAGTGTCTAAAATAATTTGTTTGTAAAATTCAAAGAGCTTTAAGGGCATACATTTTTTCTTTGAAAATTCGCAAGCTGAAGTTTAAACAAAAACCAAGTCAGTTTATTTTCCATTTCCATGCGTTCACTACTCTTTTCCAACTGTCAGTTGGCTATGTTTTTTCTTAAACTCGAAATGAACTGCTGTTTTTAATGCATTCCTTACATACTTCTGGTTCCTATAAATTTTGAACGAGGAGCTGTCAAAACCCTTAATACTTTGACTTAATTAAGCTCTCGGGCTCGTTCAGGCTTCTTTTTTTTACAAAAGATAAACTTTCACCACTCTTTTGAAGAAGCGTACTATCATCGGGCGACTGTTTATTTTGCAACTTGACAGACCATGAGCAATTGATCTGTCTGACGAGACAAGCTTTAACACCTATCCTACTATCTTCATGACATTATTACACGTGCGATAGTGTGTTCGCGTTATTACACAAGCCTAGCTTGTTATAGTATGAACTTTTTTTTCCTACCTAAGTCGCAAATATTGTTGCGACAAAATGTGTTCATTTTGTAAGTGTTCTTTTTGATCCAGCTATTAAGTACAGCCAATGCTAAGGATATTAACACTGACTATTATATTACAAATAGCACTTAAGCTTCAAGGCATAATGGATTTGTAGCTTAGATGTAGGGAAGGAGACCAGCAGCAAAATAAGAGGGTTCGAGCCTGGGCAGGGTCGGATGTTTTAATGAACTTGTTCGTATACTAGTTACAATGCGTCCGCTCTATAAATTGAGGCATGTTAGTTCGTAATTTTTTTTTCAAATTGACTGGTACTGCTTTTTCTTCTTAATTGGCTTGCGTTACTTAGCAATTATGTAGACTCATAATTGGCGTGCGTCATTTTTGAAATTTTGTTGACTGAAAGTTTTACTCATTCCGTTTTTAGCAGTAGCGTTATCGGTCATATTTTGCTTGTGTATGCGAAGTGCAACTTCGCCTTTGTGTAATTTTTGTCCTCAGGATTGATATCCTCAGTGAACTTACTTGCGCTCCAACAGAGCTTATGTGAGCATATTTGTTTTGAAGTATCTTCTCTCTTCGGATTTTTTTAAATGTCTTAGTTCTAGGTTTATAGCTTTTTTATCGCCGTTTTTTCAATTAATAGTAAAATTCGGCTCAATAGGACATTTTTTGGCACAACGAGCGTCTACCTAGTTTTTTCAGCTTAGTAAGCGCTTCGTAATTTTTCCAGTTGGTTTTTTGCTGGTTCTTGGCTTACTCGAATTAAACTTCACAAATCCTGATCTGAAACTTAAGATGCATTTTTTCCAACTGAGTAAATTTTGTGATTTTTGTCAATCAGTGTTCCACTCTGCTTGCGGTGTATCGCAAATAGTGCGAAGCTTCGCTTCCCTATCTGTGTAATTACTTGATCGTGATCTGCCGGAATTCCAATAAAGCGGAGAAAGGCTTTTTTAGCCTAGCAGTTCAGTTTGGCAAGCTGCTCCAAATGTCAGCTTTTGGTCTCCAGATGGGTATACTGCTTTCCTTCATCAAGAATGTTTTCTTTGATTTTTGCAGCTACTGTTTAAGAATTGCTCTCAGGGTACTTTCGATCTTTTCTATTACTATTGTATTTTACTTATCAAGGATATTTTCAATATTTCTTTGATTATCTTTCGCATTTTCATCTGTTTTTGCTTCATATGGGCTCAGAACATGGCCGTTTCGTTGATTGAGGACGAAGAGTTATGAAAGGTGGAACAATTTTATTTTTTATTCCCGTTTTTGAGGTTGGAGGTCCACTTGAATGGTGGTTTTAGTTATTTTGTCAAACCAGTAGTTTTGTCACGAAATTATTTCATAAGTTTATATCAAGTTGTCACAGGTGTTTTGTTCGTCAGACGTCCACTCGTAAGTTTCAAATATATTGATTTATTGTGACAGTAGGTCAGACAGCAGGAAGTTTTGTTTTAAAGTTTCGAATTGAGCCTGTCATGCTGGGTTTTCTCACTGGAACGAAGTCAGAAGTCAACAGCCAGTTTTACAATAGCGAGAAGGACGGGAATTTTGCTGTTCGCAATTGACCTATCCAACATAAATGTTAACGATAGTAGAGTTGTCTCGTTCTCGAAAGAGAATAAAAAGAGTGGTTTCGGAACGCAGTCGGGAAGAGGAGAATTCCTGTGAACAAATGAATAGCTAGACTGGGTAGCCTTCTCAGTGAAGTGGCCTTTCGATCCAAATACTTAATAAAACCTATCAATCTCGAACTAGATAATTACCTTAGTCCCGTTTAATTTCCTCACTGAAATCATTTAGCAATTTATGTTCTGAATTCCTGAATTTAATTGCTGAGATAGTTATTTTTTGGGTAGGGGTAATTCGGTAGTGGTCTTCAATCCGTAGTGATCTGGAAGTTCCGTGTCTAAATGAACCGGGAATTGGCTCCGACCGATTGAGGTAGAAAACACGAGAGACATTCTCCTTGACCTTTGAGCCAATGGCTGTAGAGCCTATTGTCCTTGACCTCAAATGTGGCGCAAGTGAACGACTTACATATTTCTCACAAATTGGGTTAATTAAATTGATGAAATTTTCATACCTTTTTCTTGAAATTCAAGGAGCTTTAATGTGACGTACTTTTTCTATGAAACTCAATAGTGGAGAATTTTCAAAAAAAGTTAGGTTGTTCACTTTCAAATCTTGAGCTGTTTGACTATTGATTTCTTCATTTTTAATATTCAAGTTGATTCACTTTCGTGGGCTGAAAGTAAGGCAAGTTAGGCTCGCCAATTAAGAAATTTCGAACAGTGCGAAAATTTTGTTTAGAAAGTGCAGTTAGTGCGAAAAACTTTTCTTCATCCAGTTTTCTCAAAGTTGAATGGTTGTATCAAACAGGTGCCTACCATGAAAGGTTCTCGAAAATCAAAGAGCTTTCAAGAAATACATTTTGCTCCGAAATTTGAAAGATGAAAACACATTGAAAATTTTCCAACTCTGTCTGTTGGCTATTTTTAGAAAACAATTTTAGTTCTTGAATTTAAGTGCTCAAAAAATATTGTTGTAAAATAGTCTCGTTTTAGTTCGATTTTGTGTTCAGTTTCAGAAAAAGTTTTAAGACTCCTTAACACGTATATTTTTCACTTAAATTTATATTGTTTGTTTGTACAGACATCCTCACTCCGAATGGCATGAACGTGATCCAGTTCTCGGCACTACATGAGTTCCAGAACCTGCACGCCAAGGCCAAGGAAAAGATACACGACTTTGTCAGAGGTCACTTTTATGGGTGAGCCACTTCTTTATTTAAATTATTCTGCTATTGACTATATTTTAGATGGTTTTAAAAAATTGCTTTTTAGTATTCTCGACCGTAAGACATAAGTATTGTGTTTAAGGTGATGGAGAGACCCTAAAGTTATCCTAAGGATAAAGAAAAATAAGTTCAAACTAAGAAAACTTAGATTTTTTCGAGGTTCCAATGAAGTCTCCCCTTGGCTTTTTCGTTTATTCTTAGCTGTAAGTTTTGGAATGGTCTCAAAAAGGTCTGCAGAAATTTGTTTCAAACTCTTCTGGATAATTTTGTTGTTTTCTTTTTGTTTTACTTGATCTCTCTAGATTGTTCCTCTTCTCTAGTCTGTGGTGTGGCTAAAAAGTCCTATCAAAGCGCCGGAAAGTATTGAGTTTGTGCATTAAAATTTAATAAATTTAATAATTCTGCATTCAAAGAGCTTTGCCAAATCGAGAGCTCAGCCAGGCTTAGACTGAGTTTATGTTTTTGTCTATTCTGTCAGCATTTTCCGGCGTTTTTTTCAACCAAAAGGTTCTAAATTGAACTTGAACGCGCTCCATCTATCTATATTTTTCGTAAGCCTCATTAATTCTTTTCTGTCTCTTAAAAAGTGTCGGACTATGTGAACAATCCCTCCCTCGCCCCCAAATTGATTTGGTTATTTCGCTTTTTCGCAAATTTTTCTCGTGAATTTTAATGAAACAATTGTTCTTTGCTTGTTAAGAGTAGTGAACTTAGTGAATAGTGAAGACTTATATAGGTCTTGATGATTTTTTTGTTTTTTTTTGCAGGAAAAAGTCTTAAAATGCTCTAAAATTTAGAGATGTGCATTCATTCATATTAATGCTTTTATGAATGCATTTAGGTATATATGCATTTTTAAAGTTCAATTGAAATTCATCTGGTGAAAGTTACATAAATAGAATTTTCCAAATACTAACGTGGAAATAGCGCGAAAAAAGGGGAAAGATTTTAGTTTCGAAAGGGAATATAATAAGTGGAATATAATTTTAAAAACTTTACATTTTGATGGTGAATGTTATCAAAAAAGTGACCAACAGAAATTGTTCTAGAAGTTCAAAGAGCTTAAAGGGCATGTATTTTTTTCTTTGAAATTTGAAAGCTGAGATTTTTGTCTGTGTTTTTTTTTGTTAAATTGCGTTTATTACTCTTTTCCAAATGTCAGATGGCTGTGTTTACACTTGCGAAACCTAGTGTCTTGTAATCGGGAATTAGACTTTTTTCAGTAAACAACTTTTCTTACACATTTGTAAGAAATTGATATTGTTTAATACCGAATCTTAGCAACTACCGCGCCCCTCCCCAATTAGTCTGAGGTAATGCAATTAGTTTTGTATCATGTGGTCTGGGATTTGAGTCCTGGTCGGACCTTGTTTATTTTCAGTGTTTGAAAATGAATCTTTTCCGGTGAAAATTGAATAGTCTGACTATTGTTTGTCGACTTATGATTTGTCGGCTTAGTCGCCACACCATAGATTTTTTTTGCGCTGCCAGCAGTTTTCATTTAGTTTCAAGTATCGTTGATTATTTTCTGGAAATTAAATAAGCTAACCCTAGCTGGTAAACTTTTCCTTTTTTGTCTACTTTTTTTTACGCTTTTCAAATTTAGTTCGTCCTAAATGATTTCGGCAAATGGTTTATCGGTTAAATAAAACTATTTTGCATCGGCTTAGCGCCAAAAATTAATTATTGTTAATTTAAATGAATCAGGTCGGTTAAAGTATAAATGTTGAAAATTCAAACTAGTTTGTTGCTCAAAATTCCTTTTCAAATTTTTTCCTAGAAATTTTCCGGCGAAATCTGAAATGTCGGACTTTTGTTTGTCTGCTAAAGTTCTGTGGGCTTAGTTGCCACTGCATAAAATTTGCTTGTGAGGTAAGTGCAAATGTTCTTCAATGTAGTTTCAGGGGGCTTGCAAATTTAATTTTTTTTTAAATCACATTTTTTGGCTAAACTTTTGTCTCAAAGGTTTTCGGCTTAGTTGTCTTATCACGAGTTTTTCTTGTTCTGTAAGCAACTTTTCAGTGAAGGTACTAGTACAAGTGTTGTTCCTTGTAACTTCAGGAGGGACTCAAAGCTTAAAAAATATAAAATGTTTTTTTTCGGCTCAACTAGTGTCTGTTTCTTTGCCTAAAATGAACTTCTAACCGAGGCTTACGAAACAGAAGACAAATTACGCTCTGCAGTCTCGAAAGTGCAAATGACGCGAAGAAACTTAATTGAATTGTAAGCTTAGCAGGTGGATTTTAATTTTATGAGTCGGTGAACGTAGATCAGACGCTTGTATAGTTCGTGTTGATTTTTTTTGTTTTTGGTTCAAATTTATTTTTTCGCAGTTTGACTTTTTTCTTTTGAAGTTTTAGTTGATTTCCTTCTTTAAAAAGGAAGCCAAATTTCATTATCGAACAGCAAAAGTTTAAAGGTCACGAAAAATGTGATCGATCGACTTCCTTCTAGTTTCGAAAGTGGATTGTTCCCAGCAGAATAAAAAGTTTACTTTTTTTTCAAGTTTACTCAAATTGGGTTAATTTTATCAAAAAAGTGGCAGTCATAATTTGTTGTAGAAACTCGAGGAGTTGAGATTTTTTCAAAAAAAAACAAGTCAGAGTTTTTTTTCTTTTTATTATTATCATACATTGATTCTTTTCCAACTGTATGTCGGCTGCATTTAGATTTCTCAGCATGAATAAACGATTTTTTTGTGTTTGTTTTTGCAAGAAAAAGTAGTTTTCCGATATTTGCGCATTTTTCGAATCTGCTGGGTTGGGAACAAATGACACGGTTTTTAATTACCCCTGCGACTAGCAAGTGTTTTGTAACCATGTACTAAATTTTACCGAGCAGTGTGTTTCTAAAAGGTTCGTGTGGTTTGTAAAGCTTTGACCCCCATGAAATTTGTCTCTTTAAACAAACAACGTTTTTTAAATAGTTTATTTTCCCCATTGTATTCTAAGCCTGAATGTTTATCAGTTGAATTAATAGAATATGTAGCTGGCTTGGGGGTAGTAGCCGAAATATGCCGCCTGTAATCAGGAGGTAAGTGCGTAGACACTCATGTATACAGTTTGTTATAACGCTTGTTCATTTTTGCGGTTATTTTAGAATTTGCAGAGCTCCGGTTGTGATTTTTGTTGCGAAGTGTGGCTTTGCCACCGAGTATAGATACTTCTTTCATCAAGTTACAATGCTTAAGTGTTAAATCTTTTGAAATCAGTTGAAAATCCTGTTTCAAAACCAATAAATTCAGTTGTCTCAAACGGTTCATTTTGTCTAATTTTTTTTCTGCAATTTTTTTGCATTTCTAGTTGACAATTGTTACCTCCAAGGCCCTGAGCTCAAATCTAACAATGTTACTCCTGCAATCGTGAACTTCTGCTTTGAGGTTTTAAATTGGCATTTGTCAATTTGTATGATTGAATTATGCGCGCGATCATGCAATTTTCTATGATGCTCAACGCTTCAGTGCGTCTTTTCACTTGCGAGAGCAAGTGACTTGTAATCGGGAAGTAAACTTTTCCGGTAACAACTTTTCTTACACATTTCTGCTTCATATCTGCTGCCATGCGCATCTTGAAAATTCAAATAAACTACTCCTTAGTTCAAATGAGGTAGTATAAGTTTTTGCAATTATATGTATTAAAAAAATGTTACTTTTTCGGATTTGTGGGTTTCGTCCTAATTTCTCGTTTAATTTTCCGTTTTTTCTAAAAGAAATTTATATCTGGTACGTTTTTCAAACTGCTTTTTTTCCAAAGCTTTGGGTGTTTATTTTGAACAGTTTCTTGTTGATGAAAACAAGTGTTTACACAAGCAAAGCGTATTATATTATTACAATTTTTGTCCAACCCAAGTCGCAAATAAAAAAGTGCTCGTTTGGTGGCACTTTTGGTATATTTCAATTTAATCATATTTAGGCTTTTTTAAGCATCAAGAATTTAATGGAATATGTTGCTGATTTGTTCTTGGCTAGTGTTAGCTCCTGTTTGAAAAAAAACAGGTATTTTGAAAATGTATGCTATTTGTTGTTTCGTTTTTTTTGCAACGCTTTGGATTTTTTTTTGCACTTTGACAGAAATTTAATTTTTTCCAAAAATGTATTGTACCGATTTCCAAAAAATGTACCAATTGGAAAAACCAGCTGCTCTCCTACGTGCCTGCTTATTTAGCTAGTCTATTTTCATTTTATCTCACGTTCTACGTCATTCAAAAGTTTCAGAAGGGTTTTTTGACCTAATTGCTTTGAGTTTTTCATTTTCTCAAATATTAAGTGAACATATCTGAGATAAAGGTTTCAATCAAAATAAAAAATTATGTGGATCTCCCCTTCTCAAGAGGCTGTTCCCTAAAATTGGTAGTAAAAAGATATGGCCTCAAACAAGCCCATTTTTTGACATTTTGGTTTAAAACTTTTTGAATTTTCTCAAAAAGTATCATGCTAAATGGAGATTAAAGGTTCAACCGAAAGAAAATCAGTTATGCGAATCTTACCGGCACAAGTGGCTTTGCCCTGCATTTCGAAAAAATATATATGGCCTTAGAAACTGTCCAGTTTTAGAAATTTTGCTGAGATTGATAGTTCATTAAAACTAACATGGTGCTTACGTTTTTCCTGCGTAATCTGTTTCAACCTGTTTTTTTTTTAAAGGAAAGTTGATATGGACTTCGGAAAAATTCCTTTTTAAATTCTTAAGTTTTTAGAAACTTCGGCATTATTCTAGAAAACTACTTGCTAAATATGATATTAAGGCTTCAATCTGAAGAATCAGGGTGCTGAAATCTTCAATCTAAAAATCAGGTGTGGAAAGCAGAGGGTATGACCATGCTTTAAAGAGAAAAATTTATTGATTTAGGAGTCTAATTTTTGATCGATTTTTGGAATCTTTTTCACTTTTTTTCGAAAACTACCAGCCAAATCTGAGATGTCAGTAACATTAAAAGTGGTCGTGGAGCCGATGTGACTCCTAATTTCAACAAAAAATTTTTTCAAGATGCATAATTTATGTTTACCTTATTTCACTTTGTTATGCCTGTTTAGAGTTCTTTTTGCATTTTCCTCGCTTGTGTTTGCGAAGCGCAGCTTCGCCTCTGTGCATGAAAATGTATGGGTTTTGTTTTTAATTTTTTTGAGGAGATTTGGAAAATTTTCCGTTAAAATATCGCCCACTCTCCAGTCTGCCTGCGTAATCCATTAGTCCTTTTTTTACTTTTTCCACTTTGTACAGCCTTCGAAAACCGTGTAGGAAGAATTTTGACCCAATTTTTTGACGTTTTCGTTTTCTCGCTATTTAACCGACCTATACTGAGGTTTTGGGCTCAATCGAATGCACGGGTGGTATAAAACTAATTTCTCTAAAAGTTATCGCACTCAAAAAACTTATTTTAAAACCTTTTTTCATAGATTTTAGGTTCAATTGAAAGAACAAGTTTTGGAAAACTCTCGTGCGTATGCGGCTACGTCAAAAATTTCTAACTCAAAAATTCATGGCCCTCGGAAAAGTCAAGTTTTTGAGTGTTTGACTGTTTCTTAAAAGTTACCCTGCCAAACCTCAGATTTTGATTTTAATCAAAAAATGGGATGTGGGAAGCTCCCCTGCATATTTAAGTGGACGGCTACTCCGTAAACTTTTCCAGAAAATTTTTTGTGGCTTTCAGAAAAGACTTGGCTGTTTTTTTTTGAAACTTTGATTTTTCTCGAAAACTACCACGCCAACTCTCAGATTAATGGTTCAGTCAGAGCAAACATATTTTAGGATTTTCCGCTGCATAAGCTGGTAAGCTGTTTTTCTTTAAAAGAAAAACAATAACACTAGGAAAAATCATATTTAATTATTTTTGTGACTGTTTTTTGGAATCTTTTTGACTTCTTAAAATCGACCGCACCAAATATGAGATTTAAGTTTGAATCGAATAAAGCGATTGTGAAATTTTTTCCCCCAGAATCGTCGTCTTCTTAGTTTGTTTAAGAAAAGTAGTTATGTCCACGTTCTGAAGTTTTCGCTCTACTTAATTTTTTTTTTAAAAATTTCACTTTTCGAAAACTATCCTGACAAATCTTAGATTTTGAGTTTAATCGAAAAGACAGGTTATGGTTATCTTTCTGTTTAAGTGACTTCGTAGTCCTAGTGGCTTCGCATCAGTTTCGACGCAGATGAAATTTAAACTCGTGGAATCGTGTTTTTCAAAATGTTTTACTATCTAAAATCAAGAAGATTAAAGTTTTTCTAAAATTGTTCTGAACATAACTGAAAATCTCTTGAAGAAAACATGCTTGTATGTGTAACATATACAAGAAGTAGTCTACTACACAAACAATAAAAGTATTATCTTACTATAAAGTCAGTTCTGTTCGTACTTTTTTATAATGTAGACTGCTTCTTACATTTATGCTCATCCAAGATTCAAGCATGTTCCCAAGCTTTCCAAGATTTCACAGTATGTTCAGACGAATTACGGAAAATGTTTAATCTGGTTACAGTTTAATTATTATAATATCTTGAGAAACATGAGGTCCATCTGAGTCAAACTTTCTGCTGCTTTATTTATGTCGAAACTGATGCGAAACCTCGCATAGCTTCGATGTACGTCTTTTTTGAAATAATTGATAGGCCCAGCTTAACTAAAAAGTTTAATTGCGGCAAGTAACATTGATCTGATTTAGCTAAAACCTGCACTCTGGGATTGATCCGACTATATGAATTATGATTGTTTTTGTATTTTAGGCACTACACATTTGACCTGGATCAGACTATCTACATGTTTACTGCAGGCAGATACGAGTTCTCGAACAAGGGTGCCGACATGTTCCTAGAGGCACTAGCCAGACTGAACTACATGCTCAAGGTATTCAGAGACATTCTACGACATGAGATATCATAATATGTACACTTATTGATATAGTTAGTTTAACAGAATCATTCGGTATGTGAAGTGTGCCTCTAATTTTTTTCGCAAAAATCATTTTCGCATAATTCGGAACACAGTTTTTCTTGAAAATACGCGGGAGTTGGATTCAAACGAAAGTGCAATTTTGATAATTCGTGTAATTAGATGATAATGTGATATTTCGTAGCTTTTAGGAACTTGGTCAGTCTTTGCGCATGAACGTTTTGTACTTCATTATGCAATAAAGAAGCAGTAGTATCGTAGTGTATTGTAGAGCACGGGCAGCAAGACGACAGTGGTGGCATTTATGATCTTCCCAGCCAAGACGAATAACTTCAACGTGGACTCTCTCAAGGGACAGGCAGTTGTCAAACAACTCAAGTTAGTAGTTGAACCTATACCATTTCAAGTTACCGCAATCGAATAAGTTCTGCAATATTCTAAAATCTCCATAATTTTGTTTTTGAAGCCATCATTAACTGTTTCACAAGGCACAAACACGCCGTTGGGGTTGAACCGAAGTTGTAAAATTACGACGTGAATCTGTCATCTACTATAGTGTACCTGATTGTTTGTTTCCAAGCTATGATGGCATTCCGGAATATTATGACTTAGGATTTTCGGTTATTGGGACTCATGGTATTTTATGGCATCTGGCAACTTGGCTCAATCCAAACCTATCATCGTTTGTTTTTCTATCCTACACAGAGAGACAGTGTCCCACATACAATCGACTATTGGGGAGAAGCTATTCGAGAGCTGCCTGAGGGGCAAAGTGCCGGACGGGAAGGAGCTGTTGACGCAGAACGAGTTGGTTCAATTGAAGAGATGCATATACTCCACCTCGGTTAGTCTACTCAATATGTATGAATATGAAAGATTTCAAATGTAAATTTGTTCTGTAATGTAATTTTCTTCTAAGAAACTACATATAGTATAGTGGAGAGACTTGTTTATCATTTCGTGTTTTGTTTTCTACTTTTGAGTGTAAAAGAACGCAGTGACTGTCACTTATATAGGATCGAGTTGATTTTTTTTTCTCAAATTTAGTTTTTTTTAAGAGTAGATTAAAGTAGTTCAGAATCTTATTCTAGGTCGCGATGATTTTCTCCAATTTTTTCATATTGGGTTAATGAATAGGTCAATATAACTATTTCGAAATCAAAGCTAAGAATTCTTCAAAGTCAGTTTGTTGATTTCCGTGAGTTCAATGACACTTCTCTGATTGTCTGTTGGCTATGTTTCAAGTTATTTTGAGATTCATATAAACCCTTTTTGTGGATTTGTTTTGATTTCTGTGAACTTGTTGAAAAACTTGCCCTGATTTTTTAATGGGAATGTGGACGCCAACTTATTTAGACTCAGTTGATATTTTTTATCCACTAAAATATTTGAGTTTGCGCTAAAGTTCAAACGGCACTAAAGTTTTGGTGGTTCCAGAGAATTAAATCAATCCCAGCTTAAATACACTTGCGAGAGCAAATGTCTTGTAATCGGGAACTAGACTTTTTTCCCGAAAACAACTTTTCTTACACATTTGTAATTAAAATTGATGTTTTTATCACTTCTACTCTGAAGGTAATGCCACTTATGGTCAAGAGTCCCGGTCGGACCTTGTTTTTTTTCTGTGTCTGAAATTGAAATTTTGTTCTGGGAAGAAGTGATTAGTCGGACTATAGTTTCTCGGCTTATGTTTTTTCGGCTTAGCCGCCACACCACGGCTGGTTTTTTGCACGGTAAGCCATCTTCATTTCAATTTCAAGTTTCGTTGATTATTTTCTGTAGTTTTTAAATTTGCTAACCCTGACTGGTATAATTTTCGTTTTTTTTTTATTGTTGTTGCGCTTAGAAATTTTGTTCGTCCTAAATAGTTTTGGTTTATAATTTCTCAGCTTAGTTTCTAAATTACGATTTGTTTTGCGCTGGAACCAGTTTTAGTTGTAGTTTCAAGTGTCGTTGATTAACTCCTGTAGTTTTAAAAATTATACCTGTCTGAATTTTTTCTGTTTTTTTTTGCTTCAAAGGTTCATTCGGCCTAAATGTTTCCGGCTCTTGTTTTGTCAGTCTAGTTAACTTGTTTTGCATTGTTTATAGATCAAAAATAATTATTTTTGTTGTTATTCATCAGGTCGGTTAGTAGTATACAAGTTAAAGTTCAAACTTTTTAATCGCTCAACATTTTTTATGACATTTTCATTTGGCATTCTTTGTGTTCGGGTTAACTGGCGTCTAACCACGAGCTGCCGCTTTAGTGAACGCTTGAACAATACTAAAAGCTTGCTTATTGCTAGTTTCTCGTCTGTTTTTCTGAGATTGAATTTTTCTTATTTCCAAAAAATGGTTGATTATCCGTTGCCATATTTGGTTTTAGATCAATTGGTGTCTAACCTCGCAAAGTTGGCTTAGTGGACGCCTGGAAAAAAGCTAGAGGCTTGCTTAAAGCTAATTGTTGTGTTTCCTGTCTGTTTCTCTGAGATACAATTTTTCGTATTTCTAAAAAACTTTTTCATGACAACAATTTCCTTTGGTATTTTTGTTTTCGAGTCAATTGACGTCTAGCCTCGTCTTGTTGGCTTAGTGGATGCTCGTAAAACACTAAAAGCTTGCTTTATCGAACTGGTTGGGTTTCTCGTCTGTTTTTTTTTTCTGAGATTGTTGAATTGTTCATATTTCTAAAAAAATATATGATTTTTTAATCGTTTTGAGACAACAATTTCCTTTGACATTTCTTGGTATCATATCAATTGAAGTCAATTGAAAGCTTGCTTATTGCTAGTTTGACGTCTGTTTTTCTGAGATTGAATTTTTCTTATTTCCAAAAAATGGTTGATTATCCGTTGCCATTTTTGGTTTTAGATCAATTGATGTCTAACCTCGCAAAGTTGGCTTAGTGGACGCCTGGAAAAAAGCTAGAGGCTTGCTTAAAGCTAATTGTTGTGTTTCCTGTCTGTTTCTCTGAGATACAATTTTTCGTATTTCTAAAAAACTTTTTCATGACAACAATTTCCTTTGTTATTTTTGTTTTCGAGTCAATTGACGTCTAGCCTCGTCTTGTTGGCTTAGTGGATGCTCGTAAAACACTAAAAGCTTGCTTTATCGAATTGGTTGGGTTTCTCGTCTGTTTTTTTTCTGAGATTGTTGAACTGTTCATATTTCTAAAAAAATATATGATTTTTTAATCGTTTTGAGACAACAATTTTCTTTGACATTTCTTGGTATCATATCAATTGAAGTCAATTGAAAGCTTGCTTATTGCTAGTTTGTCGTCTGTTTTTCTGAGATTGCATTTTTCTTATTTCCAAAAAATGGTTGATTATCCGTTGCCATTTTTGGTTTTAGATCAATTGGTGTCTAACCTCGCAAAGTTGGCTTAATGGACGCCTGGAAAAAAGCTAGAGGCTTGCTTAAAGCTAATTGTTGTGTTTCCTGTCTGTTTCTCTGAGATACAATTTTTCGTATTTCTAAAAACTTTTTCATGACAACAATTTCCTTTGGTATTTTTGTTTTCGAGTCAATTGACGTCTAGCCTCGTGTTGTTGGCTTAGTGGATGCTCGTAAAACACTAAATGCTTGCTTTATCGAACTGGTTGGGTTTCTCGTCTGTTTTTTTTCTGAGATTGTTGAATTGTTCATATTTCTAAAAAAAATATATGATTTTTTAATCGTTTTGAGACAACAATTTCCTTTGACATTTCTTGGTATCAGATCAATTGAAGTCTTACTATGTGTTGTTGGTTTACTGAACGCTCGGACATTTTTGAGGCTTGCTTAATTTTAGAGGCTGTATTTATCGTCTGTTTCTTGAGATTGAATGTTTCGTATTTCCAAAAAAGTTGTCGATTTTTTCAAGTTATTATTTCTTCGATTTAGTTATTTACAACTCTATGACTATTTGGTACTTACAATGCCATTTTTTTTGTTGTATCGCAAGTGATGCGAAGCGCCGCTTCGCCTCTGTGTGTTATTTGTTTCCACTACGAATCCATTTTTTCTGCGAGAGTCCCAACTTGCAGACAGTGCTAATTTTGGTGGCATTTTAGCTGCATACATCGGTAATTTAAATGCATATCTTCGATACGCTTTATTAGTGGCTAGCCTTAATTTTGGGAAGAAAGGTTAGTTTTTTTCTGAGTGCATATAAATTTGTTGCAAGTAGGTGTGTCCTAGATAAATATTTGAAAAGTTTTGCGCAAAGTGAAAATTATTGTGCTCAAAATTTTTGATTGTTTTGAAAGCTCACTTGAAATTCATTTGCTAAATACAAAGTAAATTTGACAAAATACAAATAGTGCAAAACATGAAATCTAGTTTTAAATTTCAAAAGTAGGTTTTAATTTTAAATTTTCCAGCGAAATGAAAAAACATTACCTTTGAATCCAGTTTTAACATCGGCTCATTTTGATGAAAAATTGCGGCGCGTACAGTAAACGACGTGTAATTAAATTATCAGACCAGTAAAACTAATTAAGTAATAATTACATCAATTGCGGAATCAAAGATTTACAGAATAAATTTTCCCTGAGCTAGAACAAGAGTTTTATAACTGTGGGGCGTATAGGTTTTTTATTTCGTTTTTTAATTCAATTATTGTTTTGAGGACAAACTTTGTAATTTCGTTCAAATCTCAGTATTTAGCTAATGTGATTTTATAATTGAATCATGAATTTTTGGTTTACTGATGCATCGATTTACTGACCTACCACATAATTACTGACTTCACAAGACATTAAGGAAAATGATTCGGGAAAGGCAAGAAAGACTCGGTATCTAGACTTTGGTGGATTGAACTATGTCGGCTAATTTCTTTTCAAAGCTGTTTATCTTCCGTACTTAATTTTTGTTTACCTTTTGCAAGCTCTATTGTGCCGAGTCACAAGTTTCGAGTCACATGTCAACTGAGCCATGGAATTTTCGGTTAGTATAGGCACCGCTAGTTCAGAGTGATATGCTAGCTTGATTTCTGAACGAATGTTAAGTCTATAAATGGTTCTGAATAGTGAATTTGAAAAATTCAAATTGATTTAAAATACTATTTGTCGGAGATTTGAATTTTTACAGTCTGAAATATGAATGAATGGTGTGCTTCTCAGCATGGAGATCGACACGTAAGTGTGCAGCTAAAATGATGCTGATAACGTTAATGACGCTGAATCCAATGAATTTTTTTTGGAACCGTTTGGAGCCAAAGATGTCCTTTTTGTTCAGCTCAAGCTCTGCGTTGAAATCGGCGCCCAAGAAGTATAAAATTGATATCCTTTTCGCCTAGCGAGAATGTTTTTGAAATTATCCTTTGAGATTCAGCTTATCGCATATAAGGTCTACCCCTTCGCCTGTTAAACCTTGTTATCTAGGGATTGAAAGCTCTTGGTCGCAATTTTTCTTTCTATGGAGGGAGGGGCGTCAGAAAACATCATGGCTCGACAAAAACAATTGAAAACTTTGATCGATGCGAAAACTAAGGTTTCTTTTGGAGTATCGCCAAAGCTCAATGAGAAAAAGTGACTGGCTTCAGAATTGATTGAAATTGAACCCCTTTTCATTCAGTGAATAAATACAAAATTTAAAATCCAGGAAGACTGAAAACTATTCCAATTATTTATTTTGCACCGGCTTCCTTCATTTTGATAAGCAGCTTCAGTATTGTGATTCGATTAATTTTGTCATTGGAACGGATTCATTGCTTTCATTTGCTAAGTAAATACTGTGATCACTGCATACATGGGTACCTCCTAAAAATATGAATTCATAATTTAATTGGTTATTTTATTCATTTCGCTTTTACAAAGTTTTCTAGAAGCGTCGCAAGATTTTTAGGATGTTTGTGAATCAAGTTCGATGACCATATTTTAAAAAAATGTTTTAATGCTATCATAATTGTAGCCGAGAAAGACAGGAGGAAGATTTTCTTATCATCTATCAATATATTTACCAATATAAATTGTATCTTAATGATCTAAAATTAAATTTGGGGTAAACTTCACCAAAATGTTTTATGCTGTGCTTGTTTTTTTAAATTCTTTTCTGGTGTGTGCCCTTTGACTGAATGTTGGCGTGTTTCCATCTGTAGAGACCGAACTTGCCGCCCATCTGCACTCACAACATGACAGATGACTTCAATGACCCCATCCTGTCCACTCTGAGGAAAGTGCACCTGTTCAACGACGACTCAGACAGGGTCAAGGTCAGTAAAAACAATACTTAAAAACAGTTACAGTACAGTAGAGCCATGGTTGTTTTATATGTAAAAAGATCTAGCTTGAATATATTTATTTTTAGCTAATCTAATTCTTTAATTTAGTATTGCCAAAAAGCACATAGAGTACAACATAGAAGCACATTAAAACTCTTGTTGTAAAATTATATTTAGTATGCTTTTTGAATGTTCTGATGAGCGAAAATGTCACGTACGCATGCACTTGTGTTCAATGTAATGCAATATCTTGATATATTGTTAATGCAAAATTGTTGACAAAATCGGTGACCTTGACCGCAATTCAACAGGAAAAACTAGAGCATTTAAGTTTATTAATTAATTTTTCTTTGCGTGTAGAAATCAATGATAAACTGAAACCCGACGTCAAAATGAGCAATTTTAGGTTAATTATCTTCGTTCAGATTCGTGGAATAAAAAGGGTATTCCCAACAATTTGGCATTGACTATAAGTTTCAGAAATGATAAGAGTTCAGAAATGATTCTTGAAGTTATTGGAAATAAGTATATATTGGCGCCGAAGGCGTCTTTAAAAAATTTAGGGTCCGTCAGCCAAAAATGGATATCTCAAAATAGTTCAAAGGGGGAACCCTTTGGGTCGGCATGGGGTCGAATCTCTGAGGGGGGGGGGCGTCTGCTTCTACGCCCCCCCCCTAAATCTACCCCGGGATACAAGTATGATAGGTGGGTGTGTTCCTGTAGAACATGAAGAATTGGTCTCGCCATTTTTTGAACAAGAAGATTGGCACAGTAAATTAATGCGCGTTAAATTTTATTTCTGAATGATATTTATGTAGTCCATATATTTTTGTGAACCAGCAAAGATACTTTACCCAATCATTACTTGTACTTTTGTTGTTCAGGTTATTTTTCACCCGGAGTTCCTGTCTTCGACCAGTCCTCTTCTGAGCATGGACTATGACCAGTTTGTGAGAGGGTGTCACCTTGGTGTTTTCCCCTCCTATTATGAACCCTGGGGATACACGCCCGCCGAGTGCACAGTGATGGGCGTGCCCTCTATCACGACCAACTTATCGGGCTTCGGATCCTTTGTGGAGAAACACATCACAGATTCGGCCTCGTACGGAATCTTCATTGTCGACAGGATGTTCAAACATCCCGAGGAATCGCAGGCGCAGCTATCTCAAGTAATTTCTTTTTCAGTCAGATATAGTTAATACAACTTTCTTGAAATCCTCATAGCTACAGCCATCATATTAGCCATCAGATTTCAGTGTTCAAAATTTTGAAAGAAATTAACGTGCAGGTTTGATTTGGTTTGATTTGAAATAAATGGAACAGATTGGAAATGAACGTGAAAAGCAGTCAAATTCGGATTCTAAAGATTGCTGATAGGTACCAATTTGTCTGCCTTTCGGGCTATCTGCCATGCAGTTTTCGTCTTTGTTCGCCCAGATTTGGTCCTATTTTATTGTAGCAGCAGATTTTGTTCCATTTATTAACCTAGTAGGTGACATATATTGCCTGCTTGCCAGTGCAAATACACGAACTGTTGATGAGATTGCCTTGAAGTTATCGGTGCAGAGCAGTGGCAAAAGTGTGCTCATTACCAGCCACTGGGAGAATTTTTTTTGCAAAAGGAAGAAAACTGAATTAGGATGAAATCTATCAATTTAATTGGTGGGACGCATATGCAATGGGATGAGATATGTGCTCACCCGCCAGAACTCATTGCATTTTTTACTGCAGTGAAAATTGCACTGTTCTGTGTTGGACAATTTGGCTAAAAGGATGGCAGCATCTTTCGTGTTTAGTTCATGTTTGACTTCTGTCGGCTTACGAGGAGACAGCGCATAGTGCTGAGAAACAGGACTGAGAGGCTCAGCGAACTGCTTGATTGGAAGTCACTCGGACTGGTGAGTCATTAATCGATAATTATTAGATTTGTCCGCTTAGCTGTTCTCATTCTCTCGTATGCTCAGATTGGAGTCTTAACTACTTTTAATATGAGAACGAGTTTTGAATCTATGGGTCACTTGTTGTTTTGAAAAATTGTTGTATCGAATGACATTGAATAATGAATTGGCGTTGAATTTTACTAACTCGCCTTTAAACGTAAATTAGAAACAAAATAAACCTTACCAACATAGAAGAAGATTAATAGCATCAAAAAATAATAGTTGATTTTTGTTTCAGTACTATGTGAAGGCACAAGAGCTAGCTGCCAAGAATTTCAAACCCGAAATTTTCTCTGACCTGATGTCGCCCGGAGCTGTGAGTCTAAAGTTACTAAAGAAACCAGGATTTTAAATTGAAATGGCCTTGTATGTTATTAATTGCTTAGTATTACTTAAGATTATAGTAAAAGGAGTCATTTAGATCGTGTTTTTTTTCAGGTGAACATTGAGCTTTTTCACGCAGGTTATGCAGTTATTTTGAAGAGTGCTTGGCAAAGCCATAAGAGTCATAACGTAGGTCTTGATGATTCTCTTCAGGAAACGTCCAAAAATTTGTTCACGCTGTGGTTGAATTGTTTTTTTTTCGTGGCTTGTCTTTTAATTTCGTATTAAGTTCGCTTCATTTCCTTGAAGGCAAACTCCAGTATTGTGTAATACTGGAGCAAAAGTGTAAAGGTTGCGATGAACATGATCACTTTCTAGTTTCGAACGACGTTTTTAATTTTTAGATAGCCCAGCGGCATTAAAATTTACCTAGTAATCAAGTTTTCTCAAACTGGGATAATTTTATTGCACGAGCGATTTGCGAGCAAAGTGTATAGGTCTTGATGATTTTTTTTCAGAAAAAAAAACTTTGTTCATGCTGCGGTTGAATTGTCTTTTTTTTTTCGTGGCCTGTCTTTTAATTTCTTATTAAGTTCGCTTCATTTCCTCGAAGGCAAACTCCAATATTGAACAACAAAATTGTAAAGGTTGCGAAGAACATGATCGACTTCTAGTTTCGAACGACGTTTTAAGTTTTCAGATATCCCAGCGGAATGAAAATTTCTCTATTAATCCAGTTTTCTCAAATGGGGTTAAGTGTATGACACCCTTCGGTTGAAGTGTAATAGTTTGAACCCTCTTTTTTTTCGAACCTAACTCTCAAATAAAAATGCTCATTCTGGCACTTTCGCCATAATCACGATCTGTAGCATTATAAGTTTCATAGCATCTGTTGTCTTTATTCCTGGCTATTCTTTGCTGATTGTTAAGCGTCCGTGAATGAGAGGTTTAGAGTGTGAGATTCCTGATCTGTAGGTCACAGGAATTCGTCGCGTGGCAAAGATTTTTTTAAAAAGGTAATGAACGTAGTGAAGACTCTTATATAGGTCTTGCTGAATTTTTTTTCAGGAAAAGTCTTAAAAGTCTAATAACCACAGATGTGCATTCATACATATTGATGCTTTTGTGATTGTACTTAGGTATATATCCACTTTTTGAGTTCAATTTAAATTCATCTGTCGAAAAAGACGTAAATAGCACTCTCCAATTACGAACGTGGAATTGGCGCGAAAAAACAATGTGAACGATTTCTAGTTTCGAAAGTGGAATTTAAATTTTAGATTTCCAGCGGAATAAAAACATAATTTTTTGATCCATTTTTCTCAAGTTGGTTGAATGCTATCAAAATATGTTTACTTAGTTTCATTACTCTTTTCCAACTTTCGATTGGCTATGTTCTACTGCTTCAATTTTGTTGGACAACGTTGTCTCAGTAAAACATACAAAAATCTGCCTACTGTTTTTGCTGAAATAGATGGAAAACTCCGCGTATTGCTTTTGAGGCTGTTCCATAAAAGCTTCCGAAGCTCAGTTGGATGAGCAGTAAGTTGGGGCAATAAATGGAGACGCATTCTCCTGATTCAAAAACTATATTATCTAGTTGACAACTAATCGAAAAAACGAACGATTTCTAGTTGCGAAAGTGGAATTTAGTTTTTAGATTTCCAGCGGAATAAAAACTTTGCCTATTGATCCAGTTTTCTCTAGTTGGGTGCATGTTGACAAAAAAAGCGCCGGTCATCAATTTTTCCAGAAATTCAAAGAGCTTAAAGGGCAGCTATTGTTTTCTTTGAAATTCGAAAGTTGAGATTTTATCAAGAAAGTCAGTGGTTTTTTTTATGTTTACTTGCGTTCATTGCTCTTTTCCAATCTTCAATTGGCTATGTTACTAATTCCAGGCTTCTACCTATTCTTATTTTGCTTTTTAGAGCTGCTTTTTTGTCGTATTCTGGCTAGTGTTTGCGAAGCGCAGCTTGTTTGTGTCAAAAAAAGTCCAACCATAAATTGTTCTTGAAATTCGAAGAGCATATATATTTTTTTAAGATTCGAAGTATGAGATTTTTTTCTGTTTCTTTGCGGTAATGAATTTTCCAACTGTTGGCTGTTTTGGGGGAGCTCAGTAGATCTATATCGTCTTCCTAAGGAAACGGTCGACATTTCTAAATTATTTCTGTCTGGTTGTTCAGATGACGCCGCTGGCCAAGTCATTCTCGGCTATGACGTCACCAGCGAGCAGCAAAAACACGTCGCCAAACTCCTCTGACGACGAAGAAGAGACAGAGCTGACATTCTACACTGCATCGGAGAGCAAACAGGAGGGAGAATCGCCCTCTCAACCAAGTCCTAACAAAACCATTTCCGCCAGCTCAATCTCGGAGAATTTGATAAGACTGACCGTAAACAACACGGCAACACCAACCTCCTCTCCTAAGCCATCAACTTCGAACTAGTCTCATTCACCTACTCAATCCCCTAGACCACGCCAGCACTGCGACTGAACTCAAACTATTATCTGAAAAAAAAAATTCTAACCTAGAAATGTTTAACTACAATCCAAATGTGTAATAACTGTTGTAACCGCACTGAAAACCTGCCATTAGTATTGTTTAATCAGATCTTTAGGTTGAAGATTCATTGTCCTGCGAATTTGGCGTGTCGGAAAAGTGAGCAACTTGTGATTTTCTTCGTCTTATCAACCAGAGGTCAATTAGTTTAACCTAGTTTCAAAATCCTTAGTTGAGATGCACTCGTTGAAACTTCGAATGCGAAGGTCGACCTAATTAATATGAAGGGCGTGTGATGTTTGCTTCAAGTGCTTTTGTATTTAACTATGTTAATGGATCATTTGTTTTGTAGCAATCTGATCAAATCGTGTGATAAGGTGCGGCTAACGAGTCGCGATCTTTTAGACCACTTGAAATTGAAATGTTGTTTTTAAGAAACCATGTGTATCTGAATCGATTGTGGGTTAAAATGCCAAGCTACCTCGTGTTGAGTGGCGTGATTGATGTCTCATAGCTAAATTTCAACCCTCTAATCGCCTTTATTTTTGCGTCGATGACATCTGAAACTGAAGGTTTTGTATGGCAAAAAATTGATGTTTTGCTGCTGTGCAGATGATTAACTTGCCTTTTGTATTTCAAACAATCAAATATTTCTATGAATTTCACTTAACTAGTAAAAGCTATAATCTCGAACACAAATTTTCATATTCAGCAGTTTCTGTAATAAAATTTGGCACTTCAGTTTTATCATGAGCGGAATCAGTGTGCCTTTGAAGACATGGTCTGATAACCTTTTCACTTGTCATTTGCACGCAATATGGGTGGTGAGTGGTTCGAATCCTCGAGGAAAGGGAAAGCTGATAATTAAATTGACTTTTGTATTTTAAATAGTCATACATTTCTAAATTCGCATAGATGACATCTGAAACAAGGATTTGTATGTCGAAAATTTGACGCTTGTATGTCAAAATTTTGTTATTTTATGATGCGATTAATTGTCAACTAAGCAATTGGACTTGCTTTGTCAAATAACCTCAGAAAGTTTGACGTTCTTTTCGATGGAATTCCTTCAACCCTCAGGCCCAATCTCACGTGGTATTGATGTTAATGAGTCTCCTCTTGGATCTTATGGCCGTGAGTTCGAATCCCGACCGGATCTTGTTTTTTTTTACAATAAAAGTGAGACGAGGTTTTGGAAAAATTGAAATGCGCGCTGATCTACCCATGTTTAAGCTATATATCTTTAGTATAACTTTTCGGAAACGAAGGCAGTTGTGCTTGTTAAATCTATATCTTATATTGCAATGCGTAAGAAATTTTTTTGGTTGCAGTTCATGACTGCTACGGCCTGAATGTATGCTTGAAGCTATGATGCCAGCATATTATGGGAGAAGGAGGCTAGCGCAGTGTGCCGTAGTGTAAGGTCCATCTTCCAAATGTATATATGGCGGGGTGCTGTCACGGTCTCCCGAGCGGCTGCAAATCTTGCCTCCAATATACTACCAAATACTCTCGAACTGCTCACGTACTTGAAGTTTACTCGAGATATGACAAATTTTGTTATTTTTTTCATGAATTTTCAAAAAACTTAGGTTTACAAAACTACTTAGTATTTGAAATTTCTAACCCGTTAGCTAGTTGCTGTAAGGGTGTTCTCAGGGGTTGCAATTGTGGTTGCTCAAATCCTTCAAGTTTCCGAGATAGAGGTTTATACGATTTTTTGAAATTTTATGAAATCACAGAACTGATTTTTTGAAATCACAGAATTTGTCATTTCTCGTGAAATACAAAATCTTGGGCGTTCTTATTTGGCCGAAAGACTTGCAACCCTTGAGAAAACCCTGACAGCTCTCAAGTAAGGGTTGAGAACATCAAACTTGGTGAATATTTTTATACCTAAGATTTCTTAACTTTTGAAAAAAGCATAAAAACGTCATTATATCAAAAACTAAACAGATTTAAGCAGTCGTATTTGGAAACAATGTAGACAACAACTGCGAGAAACGTCACAATTGTCAGGGTTCCGCAAGAATTGCAAATATAGCCTCCAAATTTGACTGCTCAAATCCTTTTAGCTTCCAAGATTTGGCATTTTAACGATTTTTTCATAAGTTTTTTCTAGAACTTAATTAAATGAAAAAACATTAAAATCCTAAAAATCCATCCTAAATATATGATTTGCTGTCAACGTACTATCAGGAGTTGCAACTTTTTCCTTAAAATGGATTGCTCAGTTCTTTTAAGTTTCCAAGATTGATCATTATGAGATTTTTTTGAAATTTTTCAGAAAACTTAGATTCCAAAATTTTTCAACCCTTACAATTAGGAACTGTCATGGTTCTCCAGGGGTTACAAATCTTCCCTCTAAGTATAGTTGATCAGCGAGACAAGACATCCTAGACAAAAAATTTTCATTTTTTTTAAAAACAAATTGAACGTAGTGAAAACTCTTTTAGGTCTTTGTGTTTTTTTTGGAAAGTCTTAAAATGCTCTTATAATAACTGCAGATGTGCATTCATACATGTTGATGCATTTTTGAATGTACTTAGGTATATATTCACTCTTTGAGTTCAATTTCAATTCATCTGCTGAAAGTGACGTAAATATCACTCTCCAAATACGAACGTGGAAATGGCGCGAAAAAACTTGAACGATTTTAGTTTCGAAAATGGAATATATAATTTTTAGATTTCCAGTGGAATAAAAACTTTACCTTTGATCAAGTTTTCTCAAGTTAAGTTATTGTTTTCAAAAACAGTGCCATTTATAAATTGTTCTTGAAATTCAAAGAGCTTAAAAAATTTGTAAATTGAGATTTTTTCAACAAAGTCAGTTTTCTTTCTGTTTACTTGCGTTCATTACTCTTTTCCAACTTTTAGTTGGCTATGTTCAAAAGTTTTCTTAAAACTTCCAATACGAGGCCAAACTGTGCTTTTTTTTGTGAATTATTAGCGGATTTCGCAACAAGGACGCTCTCTTTGTTCTTCTTTTGTTCTTTCGTTTTCTTTAATTGTTCTTACAAAACTCTAACAGGTTTGAAGATTTCTCTCTGGAATCCAGGAAAATACAGACATAAAAATGTGCGACTGTCCAGCTTTAATATAAAAATTTGAAATTTCCAACCTTTTTGCGGGATGCTGTCAGATTAGTCTAATAACCCAATCTCAAAGTGTTGAGTGGGCTAGGCTGTACTCTTTTTTACACATAAAACTTTCACTGCTCCAAATTATGCCGCTGGGGAATTCTTACTGGACTGCTTTTAAACTAGACAGTCCACGGCTTAAATGGTCGAATTGAGTATCGACCGAATGAGTAAACGGAATGACTGGCTTCCTACTCAAGTTATATAAATGGACTAAAATTTTAACCAACCAGACTTGATAAATGAGTCGAACATGGTTGACGTATGAGTCGACCCGGGTCGATCATAGTTGATAGGTTCAAAACATAAGTCAACCAGCTTAACAATTTGTGAGTTTATCATTTAGTTTTGTAAACACTAAATGAAATTTCTGGTTACTTTTTAGTTCGTCTGAAAACAAAGGCTTACTACGTAGCGAAAAAAGAATTTGCCAGATACCTGTTCAAAACTAATGGAATTTTTTCTACGGTGAATAAACAATAACTCATTCAATTAGGTCATCAAAATAAATCACTGTTTCCACAATTTGACAGAAAAAAATTCTATAAAAATCATATGAAGACATATTAGAGATACGTGTGACCGTCTATTCGATTTAAGAAGTACAAAAAACAACTATTTTTAGTCATTCACTGTCCAATGACTATGAAAAACATCCCAAAAGTCCTTTTATAAGCAAGGCCGACGAGATTCAGAAAAGTCTAACATAGCCAACAAGCGATGCTCGAATTTCACCGAAGCCAACCAGGGTAGACTGCGGACATTAATAGACTCTCAAAATTGACAGAGAATGTCGTTTGAATCACAACGTCGAGAGCGGACTTCTGCTGATCCAAGAAACCGACAGCCGCTATCGGTCGACCAACACGCATCAAACGTAATGCGACAACCCCTACCCGGGTATCAGTCGGTCTGGATTGATACAGGGTCGACAGTGTGGACTATCATCGCCAGCTCCGATGCATGAATCCAACAGCGTCGATAAATGAGTCGACCAGGGTTTTAGATGGAAGTTGAAAATTTCTTTTTTGCACGGGTAATGGTTTGATAAAGGATTTATAAAAGATAATAATACAGTTGTAATCAGTCAATTATCTATTTGGTTCTTTTTTTTCAACATTTTGTTTCGTTTAGGTCCACGTTTTACTTTACTAGCAGAATCTGCACATAGCTAGCCAATGTGTAGGATAAGAAATCAAGGTCTGAGCCAAGACTCCTCCACTTGGTCCTTGTGCCTCGGAAGCACACACTGGAAGCACGGAGCACCGCAAAAGACAGCCGGCACTTCACCCAGTTCATAGTTTTACTATAGGGTTTCTTCCACTTGGTAGATAATGCTTCTCCTATTCTCCGAAGGAAACTTACAAATTCTGGAGCAAGCATCCCATCAACAGACACGACAAGAGGAGTGAAAGACATATGTCTTTCCTGACACACGTCTGAATATTTTGTCTTTTTCTCAACCTCTTCTGAGTGCAAAACACTCATGGGGCTTCTGTTCTGATAGGAGATGGCGTCGGTGTCAGAGACACGAATATCAAAAGACGCTCCTCCCTGTCTCACATAAACTCCACGACAAAACCAATCTGCAATTAATGCGGGTGTCTCATATTGCGGTTTGTATTCTCTAATAACAGGCTCTCTCTGTACATCCTTCCACACTAAAGAAGCTAAGTCGCCTACAGCATCCCTAATCTCATTGTGCCATAAAGTTAAGAGACAACCTTTTTTGCACGCAAAATGCTGGCGAAGCGATCAAGTTTTTGTTATACCGGACACTCAATGCATCCCGAAACTCCACTTCCGAAAGATCATAGTTTTCTGCAGCAATCAGACAAGCTTCCTCCATTGATTCTTTTTACTGCGCGAACTTGGTCTGCTGGTAGCTCATTCAATAACTCCCCCAACAACTTTTCATGTTTTTGTTCCATTTTTCGATGATGTTTTTTCCGCGATCGAGACATTTGCTTTCTGTGGTCTTTATGGGCAAAACCGGGCTGATCAACAATAGCATCATGAAGAACCGTAACTGCTTCCCGTTACGTGTTGTAAGACTCATCAGTGAAACTGGTTGGGTTAGACACTCCAAGACCACCCTTTCTTGCTGGCAAACAAAAGAGACGTCTCTCCATTGATGAAATCGACGAAGTACCAAGTATCGCAGGTAAGAATTTCTCCATCAGAAGGTTCTCTAGCGGTTGAAAAAGCTGTTTAGAACCACCCAAAACACGATGGGAAAAATTCCATTCCCCTTGTAGGGACTTAGTCAGTCCTGATAAAGCACATTGTGGTTCTGTTTTAGCCACAAAAGAAAGGTTCTCAATTTTGTCTACCCATTCAAGTTCTTTCTTTCTCAGGTAGATGTCCTTCCGCCTCCAATGAAACCGCCCAAAAACCTCTTCCCTTCCACTATAGTAATCGATTACTTGTCAAATATGTGATGCGCTTCTTCAGCATATTGTTTTTCGACAACCAGAAAACTTTTGGAAGGCTCTGGAAAGTAACCGAAGGCGGGACCTTCCTCAATCAAGTTTTCGAGCCATATCTCCAATTTGTTGAGTTTTGCTAGAAATCAGCACACCAACTTTGTAAAACATTG